TGAGACTCGGGTGCTAATGTCTTATGTTGTGGAAGGGCGAGAAGGAGTGAGCAAGACAGCTCGCAGCTTTCCCGCTGGGAGCTTGACCCCCCCTGCCCCCTCCATCTGGGTCTGGACGTGTGGGGAGGGGGCGGGTAGCTAGAGCGCCCAAGATAGCCCCAGATTGCTCCAAGCTCCAACCAGATAGCCCAAGATGGCCTCCAAGATGGCCCAAGATAGCGAAATACCGCTCAAGACCAGATAGCTCCCAACATAACCCAAGAGGTCCCAAGACCGCTCGAAGACGGGTTCAAGTGGCCTTGGGCATCCCTAAGACGCCCCTAAGAGGCCCAAGTCCTTCCAATAACTCAGTGGAATCCATGTGATTTGCCTTCTCGCCTGTTCGCTCTCGATGGCCTTCCGAAGCCGAAAGATGGCTCCAAGAGGGCCCCAGGAGGACCCCACGAAGGCTCCAAGACGGCCCCAAGAGCGCGCGATAGGGCATGCGTGGAGGAATGGGCGCATGGTGCGTGACAGCATGCAGTGAAACTGGGGCCCAAAGCTACCAATGTATCTCGCCTGGGCCCCGAGTAAGCTTGGCCCCTGCTGCACCAAGGTCCGGTTAGAAATCTACCATGTCGGAGTCGTCCCACAGAGAGCTACCCTGAGACGATGTATGTGTCAACTTGTAACGACAGAGCAGCGCCTCTTGACTGCCTGCAGGGTCTCCACCCCTGCAGGACTTTTGCGGCAGCTGCCCTGGGATGTTAAACAAATCCTTCCTATCCCTCTCCCCCTCAGCCTCCCGCCCCCCCTCCTCCTCCTCCTCCTCGTCCTCCTCCTCCTCCTCCTCCTCCTCCTCCTCCTCCTCCTCTTCCTCCCCTTCTCCTCCTCCTCCTCCTCCTCCCCGCCTCCTCCTTCTCCTCCTCCTCCTCCTCCTCTGCCTCCTCGTCCTCCTCCTCCTCCCATCCCCGTCCGCACATATGGGGAAATCGTAGAGGCTACTCATCTACATATGCTGCATATGAGCACAACCTACAGGCTGAAGTAGCGCATCATTTAGGCGAGCATGCGATTACCATCGTAGTGGATATGTGGAAATGCTTCGAGACGGTGCTTTTTCCAGCGCTCATGACGGAGGCGCAGAACATGTCGTTTCCCCTTCGGCTGATCTGGCTGTTGTTGGAAACGTACGCGCAACCTAGGGCCATTCGTGCATATGGATGTTGGACTATTCCGACTAGGGCGCTGCAAGACATCCTTGCAGGCTGCACACATGCCACGACACTGTTGACTGTGCTAACATATCGAGCGATCGAGAGCGTGCACACCAAGTACAAGGACGTCATGCCACGTGCGCTTGTAGATGACAGCACATTCCAGTGGACAGGCAACAACATGTCAGAAGTAGCCAACTTGCAGCGCGCGGTGCACATGTTTAGCTAGGACGCTGGTGAGTTAGGCATGTTCATTCAGTTCGAGAAGTCCGGTTTCGTGACGAATGCGAAGAGAGCGTTGAAAGGGTTCCAAGGTAGAGCTCAGAAAATGCGCCTTTCGGCCAAAACACGGATACGAAACCTCGGACATGAGATGCCAGGGGCCCGTCCAGTTCGGAAGCAGGCGCAGGCCAGGATGAAGTCTCTTCGTGTTCGTCTCCCTCGCCTTCAGATGTTGCGACGAGGAGCGGGTGTACAGGTCACCGCTCTTTGGCTCACAGGACTGCTCCCTGCTGTTGGCCACGGCGCTGCAGTGGCAGGGACGACCCCTTCGGAGCTGGCCAGTCTGCGAAATATTGCTGGCACGCTTTGTGGACGTAGCTCTGGCCATAACTCGCTCACGTTGGTTCTGGCTACACAGAAGGATAGAATGTATGATCCCATATTTCATGCAACGTTGGAGCCCCTAAAGGCCTACTGCAGTTTCGTATGGGACCAGAGGGTGTCACTGGGACGACTTCAAAGGGGCTGGATGGCCCTACAAGACACGTTGAAGAACAAAATGTCTTGGGATGGGGTCCGAGGGCCCATGGAAGGTCTCGCGCTTACGCTTGCACGAATAGGATGGAGCATGAGTTCCAGCACAACGATTGTTGATGACCAGGGCTATGTCTTCGACCTTCTGCGCCTGCCGCTCAAGACTGTCATTGAGTTTGCCCGACAAGGTGTGGAGCGCTGGCAGGCCAGACAGATCTTGGCCCACCATCAAGACATTTGCTGTGGACATGAGAGTATATGGATCCGAGCACTTCGCAAGTGTATTGGTGGGCCCAAGGCTGCCATAAAGAGTTCAAGCCTTTCGGGAGCTCTCAGGACGCTCTGGTCAGGTGGGTTCTGGACGCGAGACAAGCAAAACCAGGCAGGATACAACATATCGCCGCAATGCCCATGGTGTCCTGCTGAACGGTCTTCTCTTGGTCACTGTGTACACGATTGCAATGGATTGTATAAAGCTGGTCATGATGATGATTTGATACGGGATCCCAAGCTTAATACAGGTTATGAGTATCTCAGGGCTCGTGGGGTACCAGTTCTGGGACCTCCTGATTGGGACAGGTTTGATTGCATCATGTGTATGCCTATGTACCTTGTGGTGCCCCCTAAGGTCTCCTACGGGCTCGAGGTTAACTACAGGGGCGACTGGGAGTCCGATAGGAACAATTGGACCTCTGTGGTCTTCACGGACGGGTTAGGCCTTGCTCCAGGACGGACTTCCTGAAATCACCAGGTGTGGATGGGGATTCGTATGCTTGGGAGATAACGGGCTTCCTGTCAGAGGTGCTTATGGGCCCCTTGAGGGGCCATGGCAGACGGTAGGACGGGCAGAAAAAGCTGCCCTTTTCTTTGCCCTGAAGCTGCTGCACGATGTCAGGCTGGTCGTGTCAGACTTGTCCAGCCTCGTCAAAGAAGGCACGAACGGGGACCATGCCTTTCAGGAGGCGGACGCCTCTGACGCTGCCCTGTGGAGGCAGATTTTTTCAATGATGAGGTGCATGAATAAGCACCCTCCCAATGTTTACCGGTGCCCAGCTCACAAGACGGCGCAGCAGTTTATCTAGCAGGACCAGCATCCATGGGAGTACTTTATTGGCAATGCATGGGCCGACAAGTTCGCTAAATGGGGTGCTTGTTGTCACGATCCGTCTGAGACACTGGAGTTGTCGCTCGAGTCCGCCTTAAATGATGCTAAGATGCAGGCCAGAATGATGTCTTGGGTGGTGTGCAAGATGGCGTATCGGGACTCCCTGACTGAGCGGCCCAGTAGATTAGTGAGAGCCCCTGCCCCCGTTAGGCCCATAGGGCTCACGGCCCACGAAATGGTTGTACGTGAGCCTGGTGTTTTCCAATGTAAGTCTTGTCTTGGGGTGGCTAGGACCAAAGCGAGTCTTAGCAGGACTCTCGGGACCCCCTGTGTGCCCACGGCCCAGCAGAGGCTGAGAGCTTGAATGACGCCTGAGCTGTAGCGCGCGCCTCCGATGCAGTCGGAGGCGGTGCGTGTGGCCCTAGAGGCGTCTGGTAGGGAAGAAGCTGGAGGTTCCGCCGACGCGAATCAGTCAGTGCCGCCTGATGAAGCTATCGTCGAGCTCAACGAGCACCAGGTGTTGGTGACCCATCGGTGCATGGTCTGCACCCTCTGCGGCTCCTATCAAATGTCTTCGGGGAAAGTCGCTAATTGTAAGCTTGGTTCGACGGCCTGTGTGGGCCCATCTCAGCACGGGCCCACCCGATCCAGGCAGAAGTATATCATCTCAGCCATTAGGGCTGGGAAGGACCTTAAACAGGTAGGGTCCTGACATAATTTTCTCATGGGTGGGCCCGTGCTCCTGTCAGTCAGTTGCACGACTGGTCGACCGCGTCTCCTCCTCCTCCTCCTCCTCCTCCGCCTCCTCCTCCTCCTCCTCCTCCTCCTCCTCCTCCTCCTCCTCCTCCTCCTCCTCCTCCTCCTCCTCCTCCTCCTCCCCCCCTCCTCCCCCACCTCCTCCCCCTCCTCCCCCACCTCCTCCTCCCCTTCTCCTCCCCCTCCTCCCCCTCCTCCTCCTCCTCCTCCTCCTCCTCCTCCACCTCCTCCTCCTCCTCCTCCTCCTCCTCCTCCTCCTCCTCCTCCTCCTCCTCCTCTCGCTCGCCCCTTTTTTCACGTGTCCTCCCCTCTGGGGCGACCGGCCCCCGAGGAACGCCTGGCTCCATCCAGGAGAAACGCCCCGAGAGGAAGGGGGGGGGCCTCGAGGGGCCGAAGGGCCGAAGGCAGCCATCGGTTGGATGGAGGCTCCAGGATCTTCCTCCTCCTCCTCCTCCTTCTCCTCCTCCTCCTCGACCCAAGCTTTCGGGAAGTTGTTGTTCGGTGTGGCCTGGTTCTTTGCAGGCCTCTGGAGGCCTCCATTGGCCTCGGCGGGCCTCCGGGGACCCACGGACCGGCGGCGAGCGAGGGGGGAAAGTGAGAAGGAGAAGGCCTTCTCAGAAGGTTCGGAAGTCCCCTGGGATTCTGAGAAAGGTTTCTAAGCCTTCCCCGAAGATACACACAACTTCTGAAAGGCGCGAGGGCTTCTGAGAAGTCCCGTCGCCTTCTGAGAAGGCCTTCTCCTTCTCACTTCCCCCCCTCGCTCGCCGCCGATCAAAGCTTTCCGAAGTTTGTTTGGTGTGGCTTGGTCTTTTTGTAAAGCCTCTGGAGGCTTCCACTTGGCCTCGGCGGACATCCAGGGACACACAGGAGACTGGAGGAGGAGTAGCACAAAACATATTGCTGAGAGGAACACGGAGCCGGTGAGGCCGATGCCAAACCAGGCAGGGAGACAACCTGGCGACCGATGTGACCTCGCGCTGAAAGCGCATCGCCACGGACGGGAGGAAGGCCAGAGGGAGGAGGAGGAGGAGGAGGAGGAGGAGGAGGAGGAGGAGGAGGAGGAGGAGGGGGAGGAGGAGGCGGATGAGGACGAGGAGAGGCTGATAAGGAGGAGGAGGCGGCTGGAAAGGAGGAGGACGATGAGCAGGATGAGGATGATGATGATGATGAGGAGGAGGAGGAGGAGGAGGAAGAGGAGGAGCAGAAGGAGGAAGAGGATGAGGATGAGGAGGAGGAGGCGGAGGAGGAGGGGGGGACGAGGAGGACGTGCGTACAAGGTGTGACGGACGGAAGAAGAGGGGGCGATCGGCCAAGAGCAGCATGGGTACGAAGAACAGGCCCGTCCGCGGGGCAAGAGAGAGGCCCGCTGCCCTCCAGGGGGCTGCCCAGAGACCGAGGAGCCCCTGCACCAGGAACAAGTCGGGTGTTGCTACAAGTACTCCTGGCCCGAAGTTCCCCCAGGGTTCTCGGGATGACCCAGACGGCCTTCAGGGCACCCCTCACGAGGCCCAGAGGGCCCCAGGGGCTCAAACATAGTGCGACAAGCTGGGGACACCTTGGGCCAGGGGTACTTCTAGCAACATCCGAACAAGAGAACAGAAACCGAACTACAAGACTCCGGGACGAGGAGGCGGAGGCGGCTGATGAATCACGCGGCCTACAAGACCTACGAAGGTGCGATTTGCTGCTGGAGCAAAAACGTCTACTTTCACAGTCGTGAGGCTGCTCAACAAGCTTATAATGTTTCAGCCCCGCTCAAGGGGCCTAACAAGAAACAGGACCTCAAGTTGCTCTGTGCGAAGTGCTGGCATGAAGGAAGTGTGTCGCAATTCGCGGCGTGGTCGCGGCAACTATGTGGTCAAGGCTCGAGGCGTTTCGGCCAGCGTCGGAAGGAGGGGGATTGGATTCAAATGGTCACTGAGCATAATGAACCACCCAAGGACCGGACAGTCGTTGCCACGTTCTTTGGTCTTTCCAATGTGACAAGCGTGGCGATGAAGTGGAGTATTCAAAGTGTGGCCAAGTATCACCTCAACATGGCTGGGCCCAGTTTACCGCTGCATTCTGTGCTGGGCCCTGATATCTCTTCTAATGTGCAAGTTCAGTATGTCCCGTAGTCCATTCATTCGATGGTGGAGGCGTTAGGACGCAACTCCTGGTTCGGCCATGTTGGAGTCGCCACAAGTGGGTCCCGCCTCCAGGGCACCCTTTCCACAGGAGGCGAGGGACCAAATTGCGTGGGGCTGGCGGGCTCACTGTCAGGGCTATACCTTGTTACTCAACGGCAGAAGATTGGCACCAAGTACCTGGTTGTGAAGCTGAACCGCAAGTACCTATGTTTGTGAACTGCGGACGGTGGCCAAAGTGAAATACCCCAGTACAGACATGAAGGAGGCGGAGGCGGAGAAGGAGTAGGAGATGCCCCTCGCTTGGCCAGTGACGTCATCGTTGCTGCCACCCCCATTGGGACCTTTCGGACCGGAGGAGGAGGAGGGGGAGGAGGAGGAGGAGGAGGAGGAGGAGGAGGAGGAGGAGGAGGCTTGGCCGCTCCTACCAGCGGGCCCAGTGCCATCAGCTGCGAGCTACGAGGACGTCACAAAAGTACGGCGCATGGGACAGAACCGAGAAGGAAAGCAAGCGCTGGAGGACCCACCACCCTAGTCCCTGCTGCTCGCAGAGCTGGCGGGCCCTCCCCCAACCCTTCTTCCCCTCCGATCGGAGGGCGCGGAAGAGCCCCCCAAAGGGCCGGCGTGGGTGGCGGGTCTGACTCGCCTTCTGCGTGGAGGCGGAGGGGGAGGAGCGACTTTCGGTGGCAACTCAAGGGAGACTCTCATACCATCTTGTCGGCTCTTGCGAATCGACGCTGATCGACGCTGAATCGGCGCTAATCGACGCTAAATCGACGCTGTTCGACGCTAAACGATGCTAAGTCGGCACTACTTCATTGGCTCCCAGACGCTGATCGACGCGAATTGACGCTGAAGACGGAATGAACAGGGTACGCAAGGCTCTCATGATTTGCTACCGAGAGCGACTGGCGGTGCCCCCGGCCTCACTCCCAGGACGCCTCGGCGAACACGAAGCTCGCCTCCTCGACGAGCACTCCTCAAAGAGCGACGCACACATCCAGGTCCATACCCTCGCGGTCTGGACACCGAGGCGCCATCCCACGGATCTGCGACCCCAGGTATATCAACCTCCGTGCCTTGGCGTGCCGAGGCGTGGCGCAAGGCTCGTGCAGTCCTGAGAGCACAAGGTTTTGCAAGTTCGCACGCGCCTGGGCAACGACACTCCAGCAATTCCCGGGGCGTCTCACATGGGCCTACAGGGCGACCGTCTCGCCGAGTAAGGCCCCCAAGCGGGCCAAGAGGGCACCAAGAGGCTCCCAAGACGGTCCCAGAGGGCCACGAGTCGCCCTACAGCATGCCTAAGACGGCCTCAAGACGGCCGAGAAGGCTCCCAAGATGCCCCAAGGGACCTTCCAATAGGCAAAACTTATTGTATGAGGACTGGGTTTATGCTAGGATAGTGATCGATTAGGTCGTATCGTCTCTGCGGACTCCCGGCTTTCCAAGACAACCCAAGTGGCCCACAATATTGCTCCAAGACGGCCCAAGATGCCCCAAAGAGAACCCAAAGACGGTGCAAGAGGGCCCCACAACAGCCTCAGAAGCGCCCAAGACGACCCAAGAGGGGGAACACGACCTGACATTTCGGGCCCTCTGCCCCAAGAAGACCCGCTAGACCGCCAGCAGGCCCCCAGGGAGCTCTGGGAGGCCCCCAACCAAGACACCCCCAAGAGGTCCCCAAAAAGCCTCAACGCATGCAAGCACTGTATCTAACAGGCTGTCGAGAGGCCTCCTCAGAGATCAACACAGGCCTCCAAGATGCCACTGACCCACAACCCAGGTGCGGTGACGGGATGGGCCGGAGGCCATATGTGCCTCAAGAAGCCCCAGATGGCTCCCAAGAAGCCCCAAGAGCCCCGAGCTCGAGAGTCCCCAAGACACCCAACAGCTGCCTCCAACAGACTTCCGAAAGGCCTCCCAAGATATCGCAACAGGCATCTAGGAAGCCTCTGCCCTACAAGCCAAGCGCGGCATCAGGATAGGCCCACTGCCTCTCTCTCTCTCTCTAGGTGTATATATATATATACATGTACACTCGCCGGCCCCCTTGAGAGCCACCAGGCTGCGGTGCTGAGGTGTCCTGCGCCATGCAACAAGTCGAGTGGCCACTCCTCAGTGGTGTAGTTTGGGTCTCTGTTGTCTACTGCTAAATGTTACTGTCGGCGCGAGGGTGGGGACGCAAAGCCACAATTCTTCCTTCTCCTCCCCAGCTTCTGAGACTATCCTGGTGGCCCCAAGACGTGAAGAAATACAACAGGTTCGCGTTTCCGAGGCCATTATCCCCAGTTGATTATTGCAGGTTCGCGCTCCCCGAGGAAAAACGATCTCTAGTAAATTACGCCAGGTTCGCGACCCTGAGGCTACGATCCCTCGTATATTACTCGGCATTGCCGCCCCGAAGATACGATCCCTCATACATTGCGCCACGCTCGCGCCCCCGAGGCCATGACCCTTTTCAATGCATACCAGGTGCGCGCCCTGTGGCTACGATCTTTCGTAAATTACCATGCGCTCGCGCTCCCAAGGCCACGATCTTTCATACATCGAAACAGACTTGCGGCCCGAAGCCAGGATCCCTTGTAACTTACAATGCGTTCGCGCTTCCGAGGCCACGATCTCCCGTAAGTTCCTGCAGATTTGCGCCCCCGAAGCCACCCCTACAACTTACGCCACGCTTGCGTGCCCGAGACCGTGATGTGTTGCAAATTGCGCCAGGTTGGCGACGATCCTTCGCAAACGACGCCAGTGTCGCGCACCTGAGGCCGCGATCCCTTGTAAACGACGCCACGGTTACCAGCCGTCCTCGCAGGAGGTCCCAGGCTGGGCCAACGCTGGGCGCACACCGCGCAGCCCTGGAATCGATGTGGGCCCGCCTCCCGCTCGGCGCCACAGTGCGTGAAGCGCTCTGCCCTGGCCTGCCCGAGATCGCGTTGCAGGTCGGCACCGCCCGTAGCGCGCTTGCGGCATCGCTGTGGGCAAGACTGGCGCACCACGGACACTGCTCGCGTCGTGAAGACATCACGTAAGGCTGCTGGTCGTGTTCGGCCTCCTGGGGCCCTCGCCGGCCACGGAACCAGCAAAGAACCTTTCGACGTTGCTTCAAATCGGCGCCCAGGCATCCCACCATAGCTTTAGGTCGGAATGTCCTCCTACAGGCTGGTTTTAGAAGAAAGATCAACTGCGAAAACAACCTACAAAAAATCAAAGGAGCCCGAAAAATCGTCACCTGACTATTCCTAGCTGTTCTTTCATCTTCTTCCTGTAGGGGGACATGCCCGACTTAAACATAGTTCTGGCACGTCCCATTCTGGTAGAGAGGGTGCCGACGGCAGCGGGCGAAGGCACCATACATACATATATACAAACACACAACCATATATAGATACATGTATAGGTGTGCTTGCCAATAACTAGATCCACATACTTATTTCTGTGCATGTGCATGAATCTGTATGTATACCTACCATATCTGTATACATGTGAATATATATACATATATATATATATATATATATATATATATATAACATATGTCTGTCGCCGCGCCACTTGTTCTCGACGCCCCCAAATGGATGACGCCGGCATCATGGCAAACCAACGGCAAGCCTGGCGCATCGCGCCCAACGAGACGACGCCAGCGTCGGGGCAAACCCCACGGCACGCCAGCCGCGTCCGCGGCGGCATCTGCCTAGATGGCCGCGGCGCCCGCGGCGTCGGAACAAAAGGCGCGGCGACCCGTAATACATGAATACGCATACATGACTACATGATTTCATACATACATACATACATACATACATACATGACATACAGACATACATACATGCATACATACATACATACACACACCTACATACACACATACACACATACACACATACACACGTGCATACATACATACATACATACATACATACATACATACATACATACATACACACACATACATACCTATATACATACATACATACACACATACATACATACATACATACATACATACATACATACATATACGTATACATTTACATTTACATGTACATATACATATACATATACAAATACACATACATATACATATACATACATACATACATACATACATGCATACATACATGCATGCAAACATACATACATGCATGCATACATACATACATACATACATGCACACATACGTACATCCATACATACATACATACATACATGCATACATACATACAAACATACATGCATACACACATACAAACATACACACATACACACATACATACATACACACAGGCATGCATACATACATGCATACATACATACATACATACATAAATACATACATACATACATACATACATACATATATACATACCTACATACATACATACATACATGCATACATACATACATATACACGTACATACATACATACATACATACATACGTACGCACGTACGTACGTACGTACGTACATACATACATACATACATACATACATACACACATACAACCATACACACATACACACATACATACATACACACAGGCATACACACATACATACATACATACACACATACATACATACATACATACATACATACATACATACATACATACATACATACATTCCGCGCGAGGCATCCGCGCATGGCCTCTCCGTATCCACAGGGCCGCGGCGGAGGCACCCCTGACCGCGAGGCCGTGGCTGTGGACGCGTTTCCAGCCCTCGGAGTCCCTCGAAGCTGCCGGAGCTGCTGCCTTCGCTCGAGCACTTGCACATGCCGCTCCCCTGGCCGTGATTTCCCTTCTCGTCAAGCTTGCCCATCAGGCTGGCGGCCGCCTCGTTGTCCCGCGAGCGGCCCGCCCTGCGAACTCTGTCCCAGCGGTCCTTCCACGCGGGCCTGAAGTAGTAGCCGTGGTCCGCCTCGTCCTGGCTCTCGACGTGGTAGCGCGCCGTGGCCCTGTGGTGGACGCACGCTGCAGAGGGGCGCTCCAGGCTCTGAGGATGTGCGTCGAAGCCGAGCAGCCCACCGACGTCCACGCGGCCGAGTTGGGACAACTGCCGCACTGCCACGTTCAGGTGCTCCTGCTCGGGCAAGTCCTGGCGCATGGTAATCTTCGCGCCCACATGGCTCTTCTTGTTGCGCAGAGTGAGGGTGAACATGCCTGCAGCAGTCGGCCCCTTCTTCGAGCGCTTCTTGGGGAACCACGTTACCTTGTCTAGTGAAACTTCGTACTGCGACTCCGAATCGGACAAGACGAGGTACTTCGATTGAAACGCCTCGATGGTTTGCCAGGGGGAATCGCTCTCGCCCTCAAGCAGCCGGGCACCGAGGAACGCGTCGGTGTCGTTCGAATGGGACCGGCGGTAGCAGCGAATCTGCACGGCCTTGTCGCCGAGCCAGGTCCCCGAGAGCTCCACCTGCGTGATGTACGTGGTGCACGGCTTCCCGACGTCTGGCTGGATGGCCGCCTGCAGCGAGAACTCGGCCGACTTCTCGGCGGCCTGGGGGAAACGAAGCAGTGTGAACTTGCCTTCGTGGTTGATGTCGAAGTGCTCTCCCTGCAGGTTGACCAGGTGCGGGTCGCCCTTGGCCCCGACGGTCGGGGCCGGAGTCGGGAACAGTGGGTAAGGGCCAGCCCGGGAGCACGCACCGGTGCCGTCAGGGTACACGGTGCACACCTCCGTGGTCTCGCAGCAGTCCGTGCCACAGGCGCAGCAACAACCACCGGCAAAGGGAGAGTTCTTCGAGCTCACCTCGGTCCCGTCGGTGGAAGAGCAGGTCTCCCGAACTGACGCGTCAGCGGCAAAATCGGATGTGAGCGGGTCAAGAAGATCGAGAATGAATCCCCCGGTTGTGGGAGTGATCCCCATGACTATTGTCGTGTGCGAAGCAGGATTTCCATCCCTATCTGTCCCACTGATGGTGATGGAGTCGCCCAGAGAGAACGTGTCACACGTCTCGAAGGGGACCGTCACGGTGATGTTGGCCGAGTTGTTGGTGCCATTCGAGAACTCTGGCGTGTAAGGGTCCTAAAGAGGCCTCCCAGATGCGGTCCGAGTGAATTGGGTCGGAGGATCGCGCCGCATCGCCGATGCATCATTGATGCACTGGCGACGTCGGCGTGGAAAACGTCGGGCTCCGAATCGAGCCGCCTGGCCGATGCATTGGCGATGCAAAGCGATCCTTAGACCCCATCTACTCGAACCCTATATGTCAGGCCTGGAGAGGGAGAGAGACAGAGAGATAGAGAGAGCGAGAGAGAGAAATGGACAGAAGAGAGGGATACCGCTACTCCCCAGACCTCTCCCGGGGTGCGTTCTGACCAGAATGTCGAGGCGAATCCAGCGGTGGCGACGAGGGCCTCCCAGGAGGCCCAAAAAGGCGAAAGCTTGGAGGCCCGTTAAGGTGATGTTGACTGATCCGCTGGTGCCGTTCGAGAACTCTGGCGTGCACGGGTCCTTGCAGTCGTCGAAATCGCCCTTGTCGACGAGGGGGGACGGGCACGGGGTGCACTCGAGCGCGCGGCGCCGGCGCACCTTGATGGGCCGATTTTCCACAACCACTCCCATAGGTAGGAGAGGAAGGAGGAGGAGGAGGAAGAGGAGGAGGGGGAGGAGGATGAGGACCTCCCCATCCTCCCTTCTTCCCCGTCCTACCTATGGTAGTGTTGGAAAGTGGCCCATCACACCTCGCCGCCCACGCACGGCTCGCAGCCGCAGGGGCTGCTCACGACCGTGTACCCCTCGGGGCACTCGTCGCAGGGCGTCGGGACGTCCGTCGGGCACACGGACCTGAAGCGGCGACGTCAGCACCAGTGAACTCCAGCCTTCCCCCAAGCATGGACGGACAGGACCAAGCCACCTCCCAGTGCTTTGTACTCTACGAGCTTGCTCCCCTGTTCGCAAGGTCACAGCATAGACAACGTGAGCATTCACAAAAGCTACTGCGTGAATTCGGGAGAGCCCTGCTCGTTGTGGTAATTCGTGGGGGCCTCCCGTGCCATCTCCGAGAGAAGGATCACAAGGGATCAGTCGACTACTATCCCAGGCTTCGTGGGGTTCTCGAACGGACTGGGATCTACGATGTGGGAGCGTCCATCCTGAATAGGGGTGCGCCCGAATAGTCTCCCCTGGGGGTGTTTCCAAGGGCGTCCCTTCTTTTCTGTGCGGCTTCATTTCTCGTCGAAAAAGTTGGGGGCTGGGGGAGAAGCACAGCCTGCGACAGGAACAACAGCACAAACATAGCTTTTCGGAAATGAACAGACGCTCCTTTAGTACAACGTGGTTTAGTGAAAACGGCCTCGGCCCAAACCTGGCGGGCGCAAGCCTGGAAAACGACGGCCGCGGCGCCCTCTCGAGAACCGAAAACGGACAACTCACTATTCGACGTGTCAGGGTGCGTGTTCTGTCCACCTCCGATGATGGGCCTGTTTCCACCACCACCACCACCATAAGTTGGAGGGGTGAGGGGGTCCTCCTCCCCCTTGTCTTCTTCCTCCTCCTACTCGTCCTCCACCTCCTTCCCCTCTCCAACTTATGGTGGCGGTGGTGGTGGTGGTGGTGGAAAACAGGCCCATCACCCGAGCTGTTCGACGGTCCCCCCCAGCCTGGCGCGCGGGGCGCACCAGGAAGGGGCGCCCGAGGCGCCGCCAGGGGGTGAGGGGGGGGCGCGGTCCAGCGCGCAGATCCAAGAGCTCCGCGCCTCCTCCTCCTCCTCCTCCTCCTCCTCCTCCTCCTCCACAATTACTCAATATGAAAATACTCTCCCTCTTCCCCTGATGGCGTCCGGGTGATGGCCGCGCACACTCCGCGTACTGTTTTTTTACACACAGGATTCCCGGGAAATCCCGGGAAACGACTCTCGCTGAGGCGCCGGCGTCATTTGTTCCCAAAATGCTGCTCTCGTTTAGGCGCGGGCCCCATTTCTGCTCCCGAATCGTTCCGAATCGTGCTCCCGCTGCAGCGTGGGCCTCATTTTCGGATCGGTGTTTGGCCTCCGTCGTTCAGGATGGCGTTCTCGCCCCAGCGCGGGCCTTTTTCTCGCGCGCCCATCCGCCCGCCACCACCGCGCCGCACCGCCACCACCACCACCACCACCACCACCACCACCACCACCCACCACACCAGCACCAGCACCAGTACCAACCCACCACCACACCACCCACACCACCACCCCACCACCACCACCACTCCACACCACCACCACCACCCACCACCACCACCACCACACACAACCACGCACACACGCACGCACGCACGCACGTGCACCACCACCCACTACGCACGCGCGCGCGGAGCCACAGGTCCGCTACGACACGCGTCCGCGGATAGAGAAAATCAGCGCCATGGTAAGGGATGGGAGGGAGGGGTAGGACGTCAGATATGACGCGAGCGCACCTAGCTTGTCCCCCTCCCCCTCCCCCTCCCCCTCCTCCTCCTCCTCCTCCTCCTCCTCCTCCTCCATCTCCTCCTCCCCCTCCCCCTCCTCCTCCCCCTCCTCCTCCTCGTCGTCCTCCTCCTCCCGAACGCTTATGATTGTGCAGTTCTTTAGTCTCCGAGTCTTGCTGGCTCTGGCGAACTGACGCCAACCTACGAACGTCGACGCGTCTGCCGTGTTTTAGTCTTCGAGTCTTGCTGGCTCTCGCGGGTCGACGCAAACCTAAAACAATATACGCTTATGCCGCTTTTGTCATCTTCGAGTCTTAATAGCTCTGGTGAATCAACGCCAACCTACGAACATCGACGCTTCTGCTGTGTTTTAGTCTTCGAGTCTTGCTAGCTCTGGCGGGTCGACGCCAACCTACGAAAATCTACGCTTATGCCGCTTTTTAGTCTTCGAGTCTTGTTAGCTCTGGCGAATCGACGCCAACCTACGAACATCGACGCTTCTGCCGTGTTTTAGTCTTCGAGCCTTGCTGGCTTTGGCGAATCGACGCCAACCTGCGAAGATCGATGCTTCTGCCGTGTCTTAGTCTTCGAGTCTTGCTGGCACTGGCGAATCGACGCCAACCTACGCCAATCGAAGCTCGGCGACGCTAATCAAGGCTGAATCGACGCTAGGTCGGCGCTTTCATCGACTGCCAGATGCCAGCGCACGCGTAAGTACTCTGGAGGCAGAATTTCGAGGACATGCAAAGCTCACATGAATTGCTACCGAAGGGACCCGTTCGTCGCATCGAAGATGATGTCCCATTCAGTATAATTGAGGCAGCCGTCTCCGTCCAGGTCCCACACCGTCGGCCCGTAGGTGGCGGGCACTGTGGTGCAGTTTCCCAACAGCGGCGCCTGAAAGTCGCACTCGGCCTGGGTGATGCAGGTGTTCTCGTCCAGGTCGTACCTGTTGAAGCAAGACGGTTTTTCACACTGGCAGGGCACTCCAGGAAGGTCCATCGTGTATGTCGGCTCGGGTGTCGGCTCGGGTGTTGGCGCCGGCGTCGCCAGCGTCGGAGCCGGCGTCGGCTCGGGAGCAGGTTGCGGGCGCCCCTGCACGCGCTCCCGAAGGAGCTCCTCCTTCAGAGGCCTCCTAACCGGAGTCCGAGTGAGTGGGCTCGGAGGATCGCGCCGCATCGCCGGTGCGTCGGCGCCATCGGCGTGGAGAATCTCTGGCTCCACATCGAGCCGCATCGCCGATGCATCGGCAATGCAGAACGATCCTTAGACCCCGTCTACTTGGACCCCATCTGGGAGGCCTAGAGTGAGAAAGAGAGAGAGAGAGAGAGAACAAAAAAAAAGAAGAAGAGAGAGAGAGACTTGGATAGAAGAGAAGGATACCGCTACTGCCCGGACCTCTCGCGCGGGGTGCGCTATGTCCAGAATGTCGAGGCGAATCCAGCAGTGGCGACGAGGGCCTCCCACACGGCCCAAAAAGGCGATGCTTCGGCGATGCGGCACGATCCTCCGACGATGACAATCGTCATCGTCATCGTTATCGTCATCATCATCGCATTGGTCATCTTCATCATCATCATCGTCGTCATCATCATCACCATCTTCATCATCATCATCATCATCAGCATCATCATGAGTATCGTCATCGTCATCGTCATCGTCTTCATCATCATTGTCATCATCATTCTCGGCATCATCACCATCGTCATCATCGACATCATCATCGCCATCATCATCAGCATCATTATTATCGTCATCATCATCGTCATTGTCATCATCATCGTCATCATAATCAACATCATCGTCATCACCATCGTCATCATCATCGTCACCATCGTCATCGCCATCACTATCACCATGATCATCATCATCATCACCATTACCGTCATTATCATCGTTGTCATCGTCATCGTCATCATCGAGGGCGCGCCGCTGGATGGCCCCAAGGGGTGGGGGGGGAACCTTCCCCCCCCCCCCCCCTTTCCCTGATCCGTCGTCGGGGACCCCCCCACCCGCCTTTCCCGGTCCGTCGTCGGGGAACTTCCCCCTCCCCTCCCCCCCTTTCAAAGGGGGGGGGGGAGGTCCGGACCCACCCCCCCCTCCCATTTTTGGCCGCCAAATTCGATGCCCCCGCCCCTCCCTCCCCCCCTTTCGCGACGGCGCCCCCGGTCTCCGGAGCCCGACCCCTACCACCCCTGACACTAATCCTCACCCTTACCCTAACGCCTAATCCTAGCCCCAAGCCCAAACCCTAGCCCCAAACAGCACTCACTACTGATTACACACAACTCACTACCCACAATTCACTACCCGCTACTCACTACTCACTTCTCACTACTCACTAGTCACGACTCACTACTCACTACCCACGACTCACTACCTACGACGCACTACTCACTACTCCCTCCTCACTACTCCCTACTCACTACAAACTACTACCCACTACCCAATACCCACTTAACACAACTCATTACCCACTACTCACTAGTCACAAATCACTGCTCATTACCCACTAACCAGTATCCAATACGCACTACTCACAATTCACTACTCACTACTCACGGACCACAACTTACTACTGACTATCCACTACTCGCTACTCGCTACTCGCTACTCCCTACACAATACTCACTACTCACTGCTCACTACTCGTTACTCCCTACGCCCTACTCGCTATCTAATACGCACTATTCACTACCCAGTACTCACGACTGACTATGCCCTCACTACTCACTACTCACTATTTCCTACTCCCCCCTCACTACTCACAAGTCACTACTCACTACCCAGTACGCAATACTCACTACTCACTAAACACTTCTCACTGCCCACTACTGACTACTCACCAAGCACTACTCACTACCCAGTAATCACTATCAACTACCTACAACTGGGAATTCACAATTCACTACTCACTACGAACTGCCCACAACTCACTACTCACTATCCGCTACTCGCTACCCAAGACGACATATCTACTACCCATTACGCACTACTCGCTACACACTACTCACTACTCCCTACTCCCTCCTCACTAGTCACTCGTAGCAAGTCGCAACTCACTACTCACTACTCACTACTCACGACTCACTACTCACTACTCACTGTTTTCTACTCGCTGCTCCCTACTCACTACCCACTACTCAATACCCACTTCTCGCTTCTCACTACTCACTACTCACTACTCCCTACTCCCTACTCGCAGCACGCCACTCACTATACACTACTCACTACTCGCTACTCCCTGCTCGCCACGCACTACTCCCTACTCCCTACTCACTATTCACTCCTGCCTACTCCATCCTCTCTACTCACTACTCACAACGCCCTACTCGCTACTCACTACTCACGACTCGCTATTCGCTACTCCCTACCCGCTACTCCCCACTCGCTACTCGCCACTCGCTACTCACCACTCACTACTCTCTACTCGCTGCGCACTACTCACTACTAACTACCCACTCCTCGCTATTCGCTACTGTCTACTCCATCACCCCAACTCCCCGCGTACTACTCACTATGCACCACCCACTACACGCTACTCACTCCTCACTAGTCACAATTCCTTACTCACTACTTCCTTCCCGCTACTCATTACCAACTACTCACTACTCACTCCCTCACTAATCTCTACGCGCTATCCACTACTAACGTTACCCACTACCAACTACTCACGGCTCACCATTCACGACTCACTGCGCACTACTCACTATCAGATACCCACTACACCCACTACCCACCAGTCGCTACTCAAAACACTTTACTCTCTACTCACTACACCCGAAAGGCCCCCTCCCCAGCCCCCTTGTTCGGCGCAAAGGGGGGAGGGGGGGGGTTCGACCCCCCCCCTTTCCAGCGCCCAGGGGGGGAAGGGGGGGGTCTGGACCCCCCCCCTTTTAAGGGGGGGGGGGGTCGGACCCCCCCCCCCCCCTGAAGGGGGGGGGGTCGAACATCTCACCCCCCTGTGAAGGGGGGGAGGGGGGGGTTCTGCGAGCACCCCCCCCTTTTGTGTATTCATGGCCATCCACTGGCGCGCTTTCGTCATCATCATCATCATCATCATCATCATCATCATCATCATCATCATCATCAGCATCATCGTCGTCATCATTGCCATCATCATCATCATCGTCATCGTCATCATCATCATCATCATCATCATCATCATCATCATCATCATCATCGTCAGCATCATGATCATCATCATCATCAGCATCATCATCATCGTCATCATCGTCATCATCATCATCGTCATCATCATCGTCATCATCATCATCGTCAGCATCATGATCATGATCATCATCATCATCATCATCATCATCATCATCATCATCATCATCATCGTCATCATCGTCATCATCATCATCGTCATCGTCATCATCATCATCATCGTCATCGTCATCGTCATCGCCATCCGCTCGGACCCCACCCCAGAGGCCCAGACCTTCGCCGTGCGCTTCGCCTCCTCTCTGCGTGCCCTGCGCTCGGCCACCGCCCTCGCCTTGCGGCTCAGTGGCTTGCCCTGGGCCTCCCAGTGCTCGGCCCCCGCCGACTGGCCCTCGGCCTCGCCCTGCGCCGCGCTCGCGCCAGGCTTCTTGGAGCCCTCCACGGCCCCCGCCGCCTGGCCCGTGGCCTCGCCCTGCGACGCGCTCGTGCCAGGCTTCTTGGAGCCCTCCACGGCCCTCATCAGGGACGGTCTTTTGCTGTGGGGGGCAAGGGGGAGGGGAGGGTTAAACGTACCGCTTTCGTGCCCCTGTTGGCCCCCAGGGGCCCTGGACCCTCGGGACCAGAGGTGCACCTTCCCTCACCCTCCGGTTCATCGCCCCCCCATTACGCTACGTGTTCGAACATGGATCCCTTGTCACCCATTGCTCCTGGGCCGTCTTCAGCAGTCTTCTGGCGGTCTTGGCGGTTACTGGCGGTCTTTGGCGATTTCCAGCGGTCTTCGGCGCGAAAGCTGGATGGCTGCGTTCAACAAGGGGTCCATAATCGAACGCCTAGATTACGCAACGCTCGACCTCATGGCTGCCTCCTTTCTCCGGGCCTTGCGCTCAGCCACCGCCCTCTCCTTGCGGCTGAGATGTCTGCCCTCGGCCTCCTTGTGCTCGGCCAGCCCCCCTGGGTCCTCCACGACCTGGATGGCGGCGGCCGTTCGCAGAAGCACAGCCGCGAGCAGAGCGCGGCGAACCATCATGCCTGGCCTGGTGTCTCGGCTCCCGACTGGAAATGAATGAAATTGTCCACTGGGTGGACCCGATACGGTAGTGGTGCTGAAAAGTGTTACGCTGAAAGCAAAAGGGTTACGTCTGCGAGAAAAGAAATCTCTCGATCCAGAACGGCTGCCCAAGTCGGTGTGACCTCGCGGATAGCGCCAGGCAGCGCCTCGCGAGGCGCGGCGCGCAGTTCTCTTCGCGCCCCCGCGCCGCCGCCTTCGGCGGAAGGGCACCTCGCACGACGCCGCGAGGCGCGGCTATTCGTCCTCACACCCCTGCGGGTGACCCCCCGAGATCTCGAGCCTGTCCCCCCAGGGAGTGGCTTTTCATGATGAGTGCTTCGTTTGGCAGCCCTGGGGTCCGATAGGCCCTCCTGGAGCCCAATGAGCGACCCTGGTGTGCTTATCCGACATACCCCAATGACATTCCGTGACTCAGCCAGTCTAAGTCACATCAGGCATACGGTGTCTCTTCTAATGACGATTGCGCGGTAAGGGGGATCCTGGTGGGATTATCTTGCGTGTGTATGCTCGCCTACATTTGTTGTATGTCTGTCTGCCGCACATGCCGCGCAGTCGGTGCATACCCACCTCCGTGGGACAACGCGGGTGCTACTGCGCCCCCGCACATGCCCGCAAATGTCATAAATTCCCCACCAGCCAAGCATGGAGGATCGACGCACCTCCAACCGATCACATGAGCCAAATCGTGCGCGGACCTCCTGCTGGTCCTACTATTCCTCCTCCCCCCTCTCCTCGTTAGACTGCTCCTTCGCCTCTGATTATTTCTAAGTGACTCCTCCTTCTCCTCCGTACTCCTCCCGTTCCTCCTCCTGGCAGAATGATCGGTGAAAACATGAGTCCTCCCTCTTCATGCCTCTTCCCGTTGCCTTTCGGGAAGTCCCGCGCGAGAGCGCGGTGTGGGAATCAATTGTGAGGGGAAGTATCAGGCGGGAGCCTGTGGCGTTGTAACTCGGTGGCCAGGGGCCCAGTTTGGTGGCACCTCATTTTCCTAATGAGCGGGTGCGAGCACCGGGAACACACACTTTCATTGACAAGTGCTGCCATTGTTAATGGGCAGGGGGATCAACTATAACTACCCTTTAGAATTGAGAGCTCAGCAACAACATCAACACCAAGAACGACAACGACAACGACGACGACAACAACACAAACAACAACAACAACAACAACAACAACAACAACAACAACAACAATCATTTAAGACTGGGGACACTCCGTTCTCACCAGTGCCAGGGTTTTCATAGGAGGCGGGCAATACCCCCACTTTGTGGGGGGGCCGGTTCAAGCTCTACCAAATTTCCAAACGACTCTTCGCCACCACCCACACCCAGCTTCCCGCCCTATGACGTTCGGACACTTCACTTCGTGGCATGCGGACGACCGTGGCTACTATTCAGGGCCCCGCGGCCGACGACGACGGCGTGCGCGCGCGAAGAAAAAACGAATGTGTCCAATATGGTATTATTTGACAGGGATGATGGCCCTGGCATGCGCGCAACCGTTGTTGCAGAAGTTCGAAGCACGTGAAAAAGTTGCTCGCAAGAGCCCGTTTGACAGAAATGTTGAAAAAATATTGGGTTTCCTCAGAAATCCGCAAGAGCGCGCAAGATGAATTTTTGAAACTTTTTTTTTGAAAAACCATTGGGTTTTTCATGTTTTTATGTTAAAATCGCTACGAAAACTAAGGTTTTGGAAGGATTTCATCTTGCGCGCGCGAGTGTGCACTTCGTGTCATTTTTTCAAAGGATTCTTGAAGTTTGGTTATGTTAGAACAAGAAATTTCATTTTATAGTGTTTTTTGCAAGGGAAAGCGGGCGTCAACAAAACAACCGGATCCGGACACCCACGTTTTGCCTGAGACTTCCTCACGAAAATGATGAAAATGTGGCTGCGGCCTAGGCGCGGCGAGGGGGGCGCGCACCAGGGGTCCCAACAATAATTATTCTTTAGAATAAATAATGTTCAACAACAACAACAACAACAACAACAGCAGCAACAACAACAACAACAACAACCGCAACAACAACGACACCAACAACAATATCAACAACAACAGCAACAACAACAATAACCACAATAGCAACAGCAATCCCAGCAACACCAACAGCAATAACGACAACAACCACAATCAGTGTAAAATTGCTCGCTCTTACCTGCCCGCATGCCTTTCAACAAGTGTATCCCAAACCCTATGGACCCGCCCGATTCGTCTTCGATCGTACCCCCTTGGGGAATATCTTCCCTACCTGCCGCGTGTAGTCGGCGCAGTCCCTAAAACAGGGCAGGAGAAGACGGATGGACGAGGAAGGGAGGAGGATGGAACACGAGAGAAATCAGCAGGAGGGGGGCTAGGAACAGAAAGCACGTGGCAGAAACAAACGGGCAGATCGGGCGGGTAGACCCTAACGGGCGGGTCGGGAAGGCGGGCCCATGCGACCAGGTCGCACAGGCGGGCTGCCAGAGCGTAAGCATGAATCGCGTGGGAGTCTCAAACGATAGCGCGATTCCCTAGTAAATCATGAGAGAGGCCCGAGAGACAGCGTGACTCCTAGAGGTTGGAGGCGCGACGACTGAATCAATTGCGAGGAAGTCCCACGCGAGAGCGCGATTTCTGCAATCATCGTGAGGCAGTCCCGCGCGAAAACACGATTTGGGAATGGATTGTGAGGAAGTCTAACGCGAAAGCCGCTGTTGTTGTAAACCAGAGGCCAACAACCTAATTCGGAGACCCAAGACTTTCCCAGTTCAAAAACAGGGTGCGAGCCCCGTGAAAAAAAAGGCAATTCGATAGGAAAAACATAATATTCCCCGGAGGGGGGATCAACAAACCTGATTCGTCAATAGTGCAACTCTAACAACAACAGCAGCAGCACCAGCAACAATAACAACAAGCACAACAACAACCACAACCACAACAACAGCAACAACACCACCACCACCACCACCACCAACAATGCCAGCAACACCAACAATTAATGTAAGACTGTTCGCTCCGACCTGCTCGAGTGCCATTCAACGTGTATTTCTCAAACCCTTGATACCCGCCCTCTTCGTCTTAGGTCGTACCCTTTTGGAGGGGTATTTTTTTCTTCCCTGCAGGTTGGGGCGCGGCAAACGGCGGGGCGGCCGCGGACCGTCGGCCTGGCCAGCGGCAGCGCTGATCGCAGCAACCCGACCCCAAAATGGACGAACAGGGGACCGACCACGACGACAACGACGGCGACGACGACAACGACGGCGGCGACGACGACGGCAGCGAAAGCGAAAGCGAGAGCGACAGCGGGGCCACGAATGGCAGGAAGGAAGGGGGCAACGAAGTGCGACAGCGGGGCCACGAAGGGCATGCTTATGGGGACACGAAGTGTGCGAACGAGCGGGGACCACGAAGGACAGATAATGCGGGGCCACAGAGGGCAGGGACAGGGCCACTGATGGTAGCAACGGCGGGGCCACGTAGGACAGCGATGGGGGCCACAAATGGCGACAGCGGGGCCACGAAGGGCATGCATACGGGGCCACGACGGGGGCGAACGAGCGGGGGCCACGAAGGGCATACGTCCAATGGGCCGCAGAGGGCAGGGACGGGGCCACTGCGGGCAGCAACTGAGCCACGAAGGGCAGCGAGGGAGCTGCGAAGGGCTGCAACGGGGCCACGAATCGCATGCATATGGGGCCACGACGGGCGCGAACGAACGGGGGCCACGAAGGGCATACATATATGGGGCCACGCAGGGCAGCGAGGGGGCCACGAAGGGCTGCAACGGGGCCACGATGGGCAGCGAGGGGGCCACGATGGGCTGCAACGGGGCCACGAAGGGCAGCGAGGGGGCCACGAAGGGCTGCAACGGGGCCACGAAGGGCAGCGAGGGGGCCACGAAGGGCTGCAACGCGGCCACGAAGGGCAGCGAGGGGTCCACGAAGGGCTGCAACGGGGCCACGATGGGCAGCGAGGGGGCCACGATGGGCTGCAACGGGGCCACGAAGGGCAGCGAGGGGGCCACGAAGGGCTGCAACGTGGCCACGAAGGGCAGCGAGGGGGCCACGAAGGGCTGCAACGCGGCCACGAAGGGCAGCGAGGGGATCACGAAGGGCTGCAACGGGGCCACGAAGGGCAGCGATGGGGCCACGAAGGGCTGCAACGAGGCCACGACGGGCAGCGAGGGGGCGACGAAGGGCTGCAACGGGGCCACGACGGTTAGCGAGGGGGCCTCGAAGGGCTGCAAGGGGGCCACGAAGGGCAGCGAGATCCCGATTCCTAAAATAAGCTGTGAGGGAGTCCGCAGCGTGAGCGCGATTCCTGGGTGCCTGAGTGTCGGGAGCCCGGCGCTTGCGCCAATTGCTGGGAATTCCAAGGCAAGAGCGCGATTCTTGAGTAAAATGCAAGCAAGTCTCCTGCGAGAGCGCGACTCCAGAGCGCCGAAAAAACAATCCCTGCATACATTGAAAGGGGGTCCCAAGCGAGAGCGCGATTCGTGCGTAAACTGCAAGAAAATTATCAGGCGGGAGCGGGGGTCCGAGCTAAATTGTGAGGAAGTCTCAGGCGGGAGCTGTTGTTGGTGTTGTTGTTGTTGTTGCTGTTGTTCTTTGTTGTTGTTATTGTTGTTGCAACCCGCGGGGGCCAAGTGATTTTCCATTGAAAATTACGCTACCGAGGAACCCCACATACGTATATTATGGCTGGAGTGATGATAGCTGAAGTGAAGCATGTGAGAATGATGTTGGTGGCCGTTGCCCCGCCGATACCGGTGGCGACGCCAGTCAAGAAGAGAGGAGGGAGGATAGTGAGGGACCACCCCCTGCGCACCGCGTCTGGCGTCGAGAAAGCGCCACACTTGCTATGCCCTGGACGACCGTCGTGCATAGTGGCCGCGGTGAGGGACCAACCCCTGCGCACCCCAGATGGTGTCAAGAAAATGCCACGCCTGCTATGCCCTGGACGACCGTCGTGCGTAGCGGCCGCGTTGAGGGACCACCCCCTGCGCATCCCCTATGGTGTCGAGAAAATGCCACGTCTGCTATGCCCTGGACGACCGGCGCGCATAGCGGCCGCGCTGAGGGACCACCCCCTGCGCATCCCCTATATGTCGAAAAAAAGCCACGCCTGCTATGCCCTGGACGGCTGGCGCGCATAGCGGCCGCGGTCAGGGACCACCCCCTGCGCATCCCCTACGGTGTCGAGAAAGTGCCACGCCTGCTTTGCCCTGGACGACCGGCGCGCATAGCGGCCGCGCTGAGGGACCACCTCCTGCGCATCCTCTATGGTGTCGAGAAAATGCCACGCCTGCTATGCCCTGGACGACCGTCGTGCATAGCGGCCGCGCTGAGGGACCACCCCCTGCGCACCCCCAATGGTGTCGATAAAATGCCACGCCTGCTATGCCCTGGACGACCGTCGTGCAAAGCGGCCGCGGTGAGGGACCACCCCATGCGCACCCCCTATGGTGTCGAGAAAATGCCACGCCTGCTATGCCCTGGACGACCGGCGTGCATAGCGGCCGCGGTCAGGGACCACCCTTTGCGCACCCCCAATGGTGAAAAGAAAATGCCACGCCTGCTATGCCCTGGACGACAGTCGTGCATAGCGGCCGCGGTCAGGGACCACCCCCTGCGCACCCCCTATGGTGTCGAGAAAGAGCCACGCCTGCTACGCCCTGGACGACTGGCGCGCGTAGCGGCCACGGTGAGGGACCACCCCCTGCGCATCCCCTATGGTGAAAAGAAAATGCCACGCCTGCTATGCAATGGACGACCGTCGTGTATAGCGGCCGCGCTGAGGGACCACCCCCTGCGCAACCCCTATGGTGTCGAGAAAATGCCACGCCTGCTATGCCTTGGACGACCGACTCGGACAGCGGCAGCGCTCAGGGACCACCTCCTGCGCACCCCCTATGGTGTCGAGAAAGTGCCACGCCTGCTTTGCCCTGGACGACCGGCGCGCATAGCGGCCACGGTGAGGGACCACCCCCTGCGCACCCCCTATGGTGTCGAGAAAATGCAACGCCTGCTATGCCCTGGACGACCGTCGTGCGTAGCGGCCGCGCTGAGGGACCACCCCCTGCGCACTCCCAGTGGTGCATAGAAAATGCCACGCCTGCTATGCCCTGGACGACCGGCGCGCATAGCGGCCGCGGTGAGGGACCACCCCCTGCGCACCCCCTATGGTGTCGAGAAAGTGCCACGCCTGCTATTCACTGGACGACCGTCGTGCATAGCGGCCGCGCTGAGGGATCACCCCCTGCGCACCCCCAATGGTGTCGAGAAAATGCCATGCCTGCTACGCCCTGGACGACCGTCGTGCATAGCGGCCGCGGTGACGGACCACCCCTTGCGCACCCCCCTATGGTGTCGAGAAAGTACAACGCCTACTCTGCTGTGCTGAGCTGTGCTGTGCTGTGCTGTGCCGAGCTGAGCTGTGCTGTGCTGTGCTGAGCTGAGCTGTGCTGTGCTGAGCTGAGCTGAGCTGTGCTGAGCTGTGCTGAGCAGTGCTGTGCTGTTCTGTGCTGCGCTGTGTGAAAAGGGGAAGAGGGAGGAGGAGGTGAATGTGAACGCGGGTGCGGCGCGGCAGGGAACAAAACCATAACCCCACGAAGCATGTGAGGAACCAGAACCTGCGGGTGTGAGACGCGGGTGCGACGCGGCAGGGAAGAAAACCCAAACCCCACGAAACATGCTCGGATAGCGGCCGCGCTCAGGGACCACCTCCTGCGCACCCCCTACGGTGTCGAGAAAGTGCCACTCCTGCCTTGCCCTGGACGACCGACTCGGATAGCGGCCGCGCTCAGGGACCACCTCCTGCGCACCCCCTATGGTGTCGAGGAGGTGCCACTCCTGCTTTGCCCTGGACTGGCTGCGCTCGCACGCGCCCGCCTCAGCAATTTCGGCACACCCCTTGCTCCAGATTTGTTGCAAAATGCACTTTGTATTTTCTGTTGCAAAAGATGGGGGTGTTGGCATTGCTCACAGCAGGCAATATGCCGGCTCCCCACCGGCCCTGCCAACACAGAAATGCAATGTGATCGCGAGGCGTCCCCGCAAGATCCAGATTTTGGGGCAAAGTGCGGGGTGAACCGCATGCGGGCGATGCCACTGTAGCCTTCTGTGAAGCTCCCCATGGGGCCACGAAGCGTGTGAGAGGTGCACTGAAATGGTGGGTGGAACCGCACGCGGGCGCTACCACTGGGGCCTTCGGTGGAGCTACTTTGTGGGGCACGAGACGTATGATGGGTGTGCCGAAACACCGACATGCGGATGGCACAAGCGGGGATGGGATGTGATGGGAGAGGAGGGAAAAGGCAACGGGAAGAGGGAGAACGCGGGGCGCTGTCTCTGCAAAACGAAGGCCCAACGCCACAATATGGCTGGGGAAAAACCGTCGGTTGTGTAAGATGGGTGTTCAAAAAGTTTTGCGCGCGTTCTTATGAAAACCATCCATTTCCAACAGTTCCATCACATTCGGCCAAGCGGGCTTCTCGCGCGAGACTGTCGCAAATATTATGACGCCTTTGCGCGCGTGCTGTGGGGGCGCGATCCCTGCCAAATAATACCATGCGGGCCACTCGCGCCAGGCGGCTGTGCGCGCATGTCAAAATCCTGCGCAAACCTTCACCACCGACACGTGGACACCATCATCGTCATCGGCGTGATCAGCATCGGCGCCGTCTGTTACCTTGCCGTCATCATTGTCATCATCGAGACTAGCATCGTCTGCCGTTGTCGACGTCACCATGATACCGAATCCGCTCGAGTCACCGACTCGCACTTAAGTGTTCGCGTGCCAGCGCGGCCTGCGAGACACGCTGGGATCTCCCCAGTGCTCAGCGCCACCGCGGCCGCGTCGCGGTCGCGCCACACTAACTGGCCGCTCTGCGCGCGACCGTTTGCGCGCTAGCGCGGCCGTGTCGATGCGCCAGCCAGGGCCAGGCAGGCACCACAGTTGCCGCCTCATGGGTTTTGCAAACCAACTTGCGGGTGGGCGGTTGGGATGATTGCACGAGCAGTGGCGTCGACAACTCACTGTGAACAAAAATCGCTTGCAAAACGTCGGTTGCACCACAATGATAGCACCACGCTGAGTGCACCACATAGATTACACTACAAACAACTCCACTTAGATAACAACGCATACGTCGGGTTCCGGAAACCCTGAACCCAAAAACGTTGTCATCTCTTGGGAGGTCGACTTTTGCTTCCGCCACCTTCCGCCACCCTTCCGCCGGCTTCCTCTGGCGAAGGCGGCCTCGTTTTACTACCGCAAGCTTCCGCTGACCTTCCGCCGCATTCCGCCGAGGAAGAGACGACAACTCCTTCGATCCTCGGAGATAGCGCCGTTTTAGTGGAACGCCTCACATAGGTAACAGCATATATACTGCTAGAAACACACTGCCCGGGATACACTGCTAGTCAACATGTTTCACCTCTGCAAGCCCGAACACCCAGGAAGAGACATCCGATCGCGGCGGCGAAGGCCCCCCCCACCCGCAGGCCTAGAGAGAGCGAGACACAGTCAAACCTCGATCCTCGATCCTCTTCTCTACGACGAAGCCAGGACGATGATAAAATCGGGTATCGAACGCTCGCGCACTGCACACTCTCCAAAACAGCGTGGATTCATGTACCTGCACGTCCTTTTTCTTGTCTTTCCGGCTCCTGCACGAGCTGCGCCGACGCGTCCAGCACGGTGTGCACTCGCCCTGCCGTCGCCTCCACCTGCCGCTGGCGCTTCGGGTGGGCGGGGGGGGGGGGGGGCGGTGCGGGCGGCGCGACTGCCGCGACAGGAGGCGATGGGGGTCGCGTGCTGCTCAGCACCGAGGAGCGCCCCGCGTGGACCTCCGGAGCGCCCTTCGAGAAACGCGCACGCCCGCCTCGAAGCACACGCGGCTGGATTCGCGTGCGGCGGCCAGGCGCTGGGTACACCCGCGGATGGCCGTCGGGCCCGTCCACACACTGCCGATTGCTGGAGAGACATGCGGCAACAAGTGCATCCAGCTCTCCCCCTCCTCGCCTCGCGCGGCCGCCCTCGTCTTCATCTCTTTCTCTTGCACGCCGGACAAGTTTGCCTTTCGGTTGCCCCGATGAGCCCCACGCTGGTGCGTACTGCCTCTGCCTCACCGCCGACGGAAAAAGTGCATCCAGCTCCCGCCCAGGCCAGCCGCCACATCATGTGCATTGAGCTCCCTGGTCACGCCAGGCCAGCAGGGGTCGCTGCGCTTCGTCCTCTCCCTGCCCGCCTTCCGGCTACCCGGGGGGGGGCTCAGAGGCGCCAAGAAATTTAGGAAGGGCACCTGGCGGCGGGCGGGCGGGGCGAAGGCCAGATGTATGAAGCAGATGGCGTAACCCTCCCTTTCCTCGGCGGCGAGCGACGGGGTGAAGTGACAAGCTAGGTGCGCTCGCGTCATATCTGACGCCCTACCCTTCCCTCCCATCCCTTACCATAGCGTAGATCTCCTCTCTATTCGCACAGTCGGATGTCGCAGCATGGCGTAGCATTACATGGCATAGCATGGTGTTGAAGATCAAGGCGTATAATGACATAGCATGGCGTGGCGACGCCCCAAGGTGGGGGGGGGCTTCTGCGGCCCCAACAATCAACGAATCGGCACCGACTGTGTAATCACTTCCGATGGTGTTTTCGGGGGGGGCATTTTCCAGATTTGGGGGCCAATGTGGAAGGACCGAAAACCATGCTGTGGCATGGCACTGGAAATAATGACGTGAGCGCCGCAGCGGGAGCACGATTCGGAACGAGCGGAAGCGCGGAAATGAGGCCAGCTCTGCAGCGGGAGCACGATTCGGCACGAGTGGAGGCGCGGAAATGAGACCAGCGCTTCCGCGGGAGCAACATGTTGGAAACAAGCCAAGCGAAAACCCAACACCCGGGAATCCTGCGTGTAAAAATAAAAAAACAATACGCGGAGGGGGGCTGGATATCTTCCGGACGTCATCATGGGATAGAGAGAGAGAAGGAAACTATTCATATTGTGAAATTGTGAAAGAGAAGGCCTTCTCAGAAGGCTCGGAAGTCTCCTGGCATTCTGAGAAGTTTCCTGAGCCTTCCCCGAATACCGAACAAAAAACACTTTTCAGAAGGCCCGAGGGTCTCTGAGAAGTCCCGCCGCCTTCTGAGATTGCCTTCTCCTTCTCCTTTCCCCCCCTGGCTCGCCGCCGATTCCCATATCCCGCCCTGGGTGGCCCAGAAGGGGGCCCAGCTGAAAGGGGGTGGTGCAATAGATTTGGGGCAATTGCATTGCAAATGTATTGCGCCGGAGAATTGTATTGCATTGTATTGCAAGTAATGTGTTGCGCGCGAAGACCCAGCAATACATTTGCGCCCCGGAATGTATTGCACGCCCCAACTGTGTGTTGCGAACCCACAAATCTATTGCACCAAATCTATTGCACCACCCCCTTGTCGCTGCACCCCTTTTGGGTCAACCCGACTTTCGTCCGACCCGACGACATGGAATCGGCGATACTCCGACGATCGATCGGCGATGAACCCCCTGGATGGCAAAAATCCGCACGCTCCTGGGCGAAGCGGGCCGTCGGGCCCCGATCGGCGACCGATGATCCATGAGCAATTGTCATTGCATCAGCCTTGCAGACGTGCTGCAGGGGATTTCTGCGTGAATTTCTGTGGATTTCTGCCCGAAGCGGCGAGCGAAGAACGAAGTGAATTTCGCGCGGATTTCTGTTGGGTCTTCATTCCTGGCCCAAAGAAATCCGCGCGAAATGCACCTCGAAATCCAGAACGAAATTCTCCAGGACACCCTGGGCCCATCCCATCGTTTCCGAACGAAGCCCGCTCTGCGACGTTGGCGCCATGACGATTGGGCGCCGACGCGTTCCCCCCTGAGCCGATCCCCCTCGCGCTGCACCCTGGTTTTCGGCTCGCGCCTCGGCTCTCCGGCGGCCGTTCGGGACGATCCGGGCGGCCTCGGAACGCTGTCGGAAAGGCGCAGCCGCTGGAAGGCATCCCGAGCCTGCAGAGCCCCTCGGGGCGAACGAGAAACCTCAAGCCTCGGTCCTCGAACCTCGCTCCGCGATTGGAGGTCGATGCGTCCCTCCTTGAATATATTCTCCCCCTAACGGCTGGCAACTTAACCTTGCTTCTTAGGGAGCGCAGGCCTTGTCTGTAGATGTAGGGCCGCCGCTTTCCAAGAGGCAGCCCCCCTGTAAGAAGCAATTTCCCCCTCCCCCATACCCCCCTTGTGCGCGCCACCAACGGTGGACATCGACGACGACGACGACGACGACGACGACGACGACGACGACCACAGTGTCGCCGACGGTGTCGCCAACGCGGGCTCACGCGCGCGGAGGCAAGAGCGCCAGCGCGCCCCAGAGGGGGACAGTCGCGGGACCCTCGGGGGGGGGGCGAAGGCGCGGCCTTCGCCGAGAGAGTGCTCACGCTGCCCGAGGCCTTCGTGAGCTGGAAGTTCGCGTCGCGCAGCTGCGAGCGCAGGCGGTCCGCGTCGCGCTGGGTCGTCTGCGGGCAGCGCAAACACCCCAGACAGATCCGACGGCGTGATCTGCGTCATTGCGGGGGTGCCCTCCTGCCAGCTACACGCCAGAACGACCCTGGGAAAGACTGACTTTTGGTGCTCAGCTTTACAGGGGACGCGGGGTGGCCTAACCTGGGCGCGCAAGCCGCTGCTGCCACTTCGCATTTAGCCATCCAAAGACCAATATGTGCCCGCACCAAGGGTCACTCAGGCGAAAGGACACTCTTACGTCTAGTCGATCCTTGTATTCTGGCCCTCCGAAGCCGGTTTCGGGCCCCGGAGCCATCATAAGTGAGGGGGGGGAGGAGGAAAGAAGAGGAGAAGGAGGGAAAAAGGGAGGGAAAAGGAACGTTCCCCAGCCGACACCCTGTGATTGAATGAAAACCATCTTCCCGACATGGCTTCCTTATCCTCTTCTTCTCGCTCCTCTCTCGCTGTTGGGCTTGTCGGCCTCAAGACTCTAAACACTCTTCAGGCGCTTCAATCCCATCCAAACCGTGGCGGTGAGAAGCCTACATCAGTGACAACAACACCTTTCGTCTCTATCGGTGAACCGCCACCGCGCTTGCAGCGTGAATCGTATGAGCCAGGCACTTTCGAACCTCCTTCGCGCCTACTGAGAACGTTGCCATTTGTATAAAGAATCAACCGCCTTTCACAATGAATGCTTCATGATTTGAATAAACGGAGACCCCTTATAATAACACCCAGGGGATAATAAAATTCGGGGTCCAGGTAAATAACCAAATATTTGTCCTGGCAAGTCGACGACGACGAAAAGGATGTTTTCCTTTTGCTCTGAGATCCTTGGCCGTGCTCTTGAGATCCTTGGTTCGTTACTTGGGAAAGCTGAAACACTCCTATGGCCCTGCCACACGCGCGTGACTGGGGAAGGCTGCATTGGTGAGGATCCCATGGCCCTGTCACACGTTCGTGACTTTGGAAAGCTGAGATGGTGAGAATTCCAGTGCCCTGCCACACTTCCGTGACTTGTGACAGCTGGAATTGTGAGAACCCCATTGCCATGCCACACGTTTTTGATGATGTTGCTGCTCAACAGAAGGAAATAACAACTTCGATTCGAAACTTTTCCCCCGCGATAAGAAAGTTCGGCCTTGCCGCCCCTCTCCCCCGACCAACTCTGTCTTGGCAGGGGAGAATGAACTCTCCAGGGTGAAGGGGGGGTCTGGTTTATTACCCGGGGCTCGGGGTTAGGCTTCCTCTCCTCTTGACGTTTAGGAAATCCGTCGACTCTGTCGGCGTTTGTGGGGATGACGGGCTCCCATGCAGCTCTAGTGCTGATCTTAAGCTCTCTGTCCCTTTTCCTCTGGCTCCGTTGGGAACTTCTCCACGCGCGTCAACCCAACGGAGAGCGAGGCCGTCATCGAATCGCAGGGAATATCCTTCCCTTTGATCCCTTCCACGCTGGTGGGGGCGGCCCTGGGGGTATGGAGAGAGGGGGCCTGGGGGGGTCTTCCGAGTGCTTTCAGCGACCTTTGGGCTCCCAGGTCTCCAAGATGGTGCCAGATGGCCCAGGTTGGCTCCAGATGGCCCCTGGCATTCCAAGAACCTCCACGACGGCCCCAAGGCAGTTCTAAGTGGCCACGGTGCCTCCCAAAGACTTCCTGCCGGCCCCAAACAGGCCCCGAAGAGGTTCCCCAGCAGCCCCAGGAGTCCCCAAAGACGCCACCAAGAGTTTTCAGAGAATGCCTCCAGGAAGCCCCCCCGAGAGGGATCCACCCCAAGACAGTCCTCTTGCCTCGAACCTGGGCTTCAAGCGGACCGTCCTCTGGCCAGAGCTTCGAGGCGGAATCCAGCCGCGGCGACCGGGAGGACCAGAGCCCCGACGAGGCCGAAGCCGAACAGCAATCTCCGTTCTCGAAGTTCGATCCTCGAACCGACCCCCCAAAGACCGTCCTCCTCCTGGTTCTTCTGCGGCCCAGAGGTACTCTTCAAGCCGTTCTGAGGCAGTCGTCGGCCCGTCGTCGGCCTTCCTTCGTGAGTGCGCTCCTCGGCTCCTTCGCGGCCTTCCAGGGGGCTCCCGATGGCCCTCGAGAGTCGGTGGAACTGGCCGTAAAGTCCCTCCGCCAGGATGTACAATCAACCCTCTCAAATCCCGCAGAACTCCCACATAGAGGTGTTGACCAACTCTTCGTGTTAAAACCATGCTGCTGCGCACCTGATGTGCACCATCGTCTACCCAAGAGCACCTGCGCACCCGTTACATCCACTGGGCCGTCTTCTCGCGTTCACTATGCATGGTCGTACAGGGATGTACTCGCCCGCGCGACGAAGTCGAAAGAAACATCAGCTCGCAGAACACGCTGAGGCTGGATGAGTTGCAAAGGCAGCTGCGTGCAGGGAGCGTCATGAAAAAAAGCGAAAAACAACCAAGGAGCACGGGGGACGAACGGATGAAACGGCAGACGAGACTTATCAACAGGATACGGCGACGAGCAAGTGGAGGCGAGCGTGTATTTCGGCCAAGGAGAACCAGCCGTATGCGCCCAGCTGCGCCTCTGCGGCCCCCTACGGCAAGGGCCAGGAGCTACCCTGGTGCAAAATGGCGACTCCCTCAGGTGATATGGCCATCTCTCTGGACGTCCTGCGTCCAGATGGACTGCCATCTCGCAAGACCTATGATAATTCACCTCCGCCTTCCTCCGCCAAAAGGAGCCATCCTGGTTTTGCATCCGTCGACCTTCTGCCGTGATCCACCGAGGGAGAGAATAAGTATGATTGTGAGTGAGCTTGAAGGAGGAGGAGGAGGAGGAGGAGGAGGAGAAGGAGGAGGAGGAGGAGGAGGAGGAGGAGGAGGAGGACCAGTGGAAGCCCAAGAGTCATCAACGATGTTAGAATAAACCCTCCCTCCAAGCTCCCCTCTTCGTAGGCCCCTACAACGGTTCATATCCATTGAAGGAACTGCCTCGTTGGAAGACAACCGTTTGAAGACCCTGAAGTATGCCAAAACACTGCTCTCGGGATTCCAACGCCACGGATCAACCTGATTGTTGCGTCTTGACGATCTTGAGTCGTGCCAGAAACCCATTCCTGAGACTTCAATAAAACGAACCTACATAACTGTTGCACCCTCATAACCCTGAATCCTTCCAATACAAAATTTCTGGTACGCTGATCCTGGGAATCCGTGAAACTCTTGTTTGCAATTTTCAAAAACGAATGCCCGTGGCGCTAAAGCGAGAACCACCTTTTTCCCTACCTAGGCTCTGCCTAGAAGGGTTCTTACTCGGAGGCTTAAAAGGCCGGGCAGTGGGGCCCGCCCCGGGCGGTTCCCCCGGCATCCGCACCGCGGTTCCCCCAGTGACGTTCCCTTAGCTTCGCGTTGCTTATCTCATCTTAGCTTAGCTTATTTCATCTTACCTTAGCTTAGCTTCATATTACCTCAGTTTTATCTTAGCTTAGCTTACCTTCATCTTAGCTTCGCTGATCTTTAGCATAGCATAGCAGAGCGCAGCATAGCGTAGCATAGCATAGCGCAGCATCGCATATCATAGCATGGGTGTAATTCCCTACCCAGGCTCTGCTTAGAGGGTTAGCTTAGCTTAGCCTAGCTTAACTTAGCATAGCGCAGCGCTGCTTTAGCATAACATAGCATAGCACAATTGCAATTGCACTTGCATTTGCATTTGCATGTGCATTTGCATGTGTATGTGTATGTATGTCTGTCTGTCTGTCTGTCTGTCTGTCTGTCTGTCTGTCTGTCCGTCCGTCCGTCCGTCCGTATGTATGTATGTATGTATGTATGTATGTATGTATGTATGTATGCATGTGTATACATCTATATGTATATATATATGTATAGATAGATACAGCCCCCCCAGTGCCCTGGGTCCCACACCTCCCCGCCACATCTCGGGGACGCTCCCGGTACCGCTCCCCCGGTCTGTCCGGGGAGCCTCCACAGCATTCCAGGAGGGCCCAAGACGCCTCCCACCCTGATCACCCGTTCTCCGGAAATTTCCGGCGCGGGGGAACGTCAGGAATTAAGATGCATCTTGCAAAAGTGAGTTGCGATTTCCGGCCTGGACAGATGCATCTTGCAGTGGCGCCCCCGCCACGAATTCCCTAATAATCGGGCTCGAAATTGCAGTCCCGCCGCGCTCGAAATTGCAGACTCGAGCTCGAAATTGCAGACACCCTCGGGCTCGAAACTGCAAAAGCCCTCGCGCTCGAAATTTTGACGCGACGGGAGAGGGATGATGATGGTTATGATGATTGTGGTGATGAGGATGACGATGATGGTGATGACTACGATGGACTTCATGATTAAGATGATGATGACGACGATGGTGATGGTGGTGATAATGAGAGTTACGATGGCACTGTTGATGCTGGTGATCGCGATGATGGTGATGAGGATGAAGATGATCATGCTGTTCATGATGATGACGCTTTCGACGTTGATGGTGATGCTGATGGTGGTGATGATGATGATGATGATGATGATGATGATGATGAAGGGAATGAGGGCGAGGGGGTACAGAGGATCAGGAGGGCGAACGATGGAGCTTAAGCTTAAGCTTAGCTTTAGCTTAGCTTAGCTTTAGCTTAGCTTTAGCTTAGCTTTAGCTTAGCTTTAGCTTAACTTTACTGTTACTACTAACGCTGCTTTCCTAGGGGCTCCAACTCCTAGGTAGGGTCGCACTGGGATAATCAAAAGGAGCCGCCCTCATCCGCGAAACTCTTGCAAACTTCTAAGCCGAATGTGCGCGGCGCCAAGGGGAGAGCCACATTTGGAAAACGACCCGCCCTCAATTCGCGAAGCTCTTGCATTTTTGTGCAACGAATGTGCGCGGCGCTGAGGAGGCGAGAGCCACATTTTGAAAACGGCCCGCCCTCCATTTGTGAAACTGTTGTCATGTTTAAGCTTCAGGGTGCTAAATGGTGACGAAGTCTCAGGCGAAACGCCTGGCCCGCCCGAAAAACTGGCCTCGGGGTGCGACGGGGGGAAGTCATTTATTAT